TAGAATGCTGTGAGCTGCATTGGAAAATGCTTTAGGTTGACGCATGGTGGGAATGTTTGCATACAATTAGAGGAGTTTAGTCATTTTTGATGCCTGCTTCATTTGTAGAACACTAAATTCAAATTAGCATCCTGATGGCTAGGTACGTATACTTCAGTGGCTGAAATCCCACTAGGTGTTCATATCCCTTTCTATTAATAAGTCTAACCTTCATTTATGCACTGTATTAATTTTTTTCTGTTCTCTGTGTGTACAGTAACAAATAATTTCAGGTCTGTGTACAGGTATTTTGTACACTTATGCCATAGTTACCAGTGGATCAGTGTAACAACAGGCAGGCCAGACTGAAAAAGTTACCTTGAGCCTGAAACTATCCTTGCTTAACACAACAGAACATTAATTCAGAGACTTTTGCAAGGGTTGGACTAGATCTCAGCTATGATTCTTACGTACTCCAATAAGTGTCTTAGAATGTATTTTGGATCTTTGCAGTGCTGCTTTAGTTTTAGTATGTGCTTTTCTTTTGGGCTCGTATGAATGCCTGAGAATAGGCTTCCTTCTCAAGTCACATTGTTGTCTTGTTATGAGAAAAAGAACGAAAGAAATCTCAGTGCTTTGACTGTAATACTGCAGGATATCGTTATTGTCATTGTTATAGTCATCGTTATTGCAGCATGGCAGCATCTAGATGGTCCTTTCCAGTGCTTTGGGATACCAAGCGCCAGGGACTCTGGATCAGGGGATGACTTCCATCCCCAACATCAGCAATGCTTCTTCAATGTGAAATAATTGCTTTTTTTTGCTTCAGAAGTGGCAACGTACAGTGAATCTTTGTACTTGCTTCAGAAGTTTTGGTGATGATTTCCCAGATTTTGAGCTGGAATCCTTGTTGGTGTTAAGCTTTTGTCTGTACTAAATTATTGGGTACAAATCTGTTACAAGAGCTTTTCTGCCTTATAGAGAAGAGGTAGCACATCCACCTTAAAATTTTCATGTATATGTTACGAAAGCTATTGTGATACCAGCACATGAGTTTTCATGCTTTGGCTTCCATCTATATTTTACACCAGTCTGGCAATCTCCATTAACACCAACTCACTGAGATTTTTTTACTATACTATCTATTGATTAAGGAATTGGGAATCAGAAAGAAAGGTAGTTCAGAGAAGAAAGCTTTTTGAGGGTTTTGGTGTTTGGTTGTTTGTTTTTTTTTTTCAGTGATAGTGCAGGTGTTTTTGTTTCTATATACACAAGTATAGTGGACAATGCAGGGGAACTTCTTAAGAAATCTTCCAGATTCCTCATTGATGCTGTACTCCTATAATAATATGTGTGCCTAAGGCCTTTGGCTGACTAGGAAACTACACCTGGTTCTAGCAGGAGATGATATGGTCACAGCGCACACTTCTGTCTGGCCTACAGAAGTATTATTACCTCTTCGGGCACAAAGATATGTGCCCACAGGAGACTCCAGTTGTTATATGGTGCACCAAAAGCTCATCACAGCTCTCCTGTTTTCTGTATTGGTTAACCATAGAGCACCACAGAAAGCGTCTGTGTCTCTAATGTTATTTTGGTTTAAAAATACTACTCCCTACGCAAAATATGCTGCTCTTCACAGTAGACATATAGGGAGCAGAACTGTTGGGAGATCTAAACTGAAAGAAAAAAATTCTGATAATATTTAAAGCTCCTAAAAGGGCAAAGTATATTAATTTGCCTTTGTTGCAGGCAAATAATGCAACATGTGTTATATTGATGGAGGTGGGTTACATACAAAATTTTCAAAACTAGCAAATACCTTTTGGCATTGGGGGAATATGCTGAACATAGCTTTTTAATGTTTGTGGATTTGTTAGGGACAGCCACTGGCATCTTGAACTTCTGAGGTTCCAGATAATAAAGGACCCTATTGGCAGTTAAGTAGGAAAAGTTAGGATCAAAAGATGCTTTGGAATTGTAATTGATTCACACAATTTATCATAAGAAAATGCTGTTTTCATTATTCTTATTTATCTTCCCTCTAGTAAAGTAGCTAGTAGATGCAGGGGAAGGAAAGAAAGCATGTGAAGGGAGAAGGAACTCCTATGGTAATTCTGTCCGTTCTGATGAAGCATAAAATAATGTAATAGGTATCATTAAAAAGAAAGTGTATTTAAAACGTCTGAGTTAACTTCATAGACCTTAGTGGAAAGTGAAACCTGCTTACTGAAATTTTTTGGATAGTTTTCATCTGATTACTCTCTCAGGCAATTCTTCAATAACAGATTTTTTCAGATTGCATTTTATAGCCTTTCATGTGAAAAAAACAAATACATTGTTGCAAGAGAGAAGTGATTTTTTTTTTTTCTGGTGTAAACCAGCTCTTTTTAAATCTAATTGAGAGTGCCAGTTTGATCTTCATGTCTGTGTTTCTGTACTAAGCATGAATGTTTGTCTCTTCAAATGAAAAGTTTCTCAAGCTGTAAAAAAGCCCACCTTCAAAGATAAGTGTTAGGCAAGTGTAATGGACAAAATACAGGAACTTGGATATGTTGGATGCTTGTTTTCTGCTCATATTGGAAATGAAAGTTAAATCTGAAACAAGAATTAGTTTTACTTAAGCCTTGAATATTTATTTTAATCATTAGTGTAAAAGTCTAGGAGTCAGACTTAGTAGCTGAGAAGGTTAAAGAAAAAGATGGTATTCTGAAAAAGCTTGAATTTTTTTTTTTCTAAAAATATGTTTAGGTCTCTGTTGTTTACACTTTTTTCCTTCTGTTTTTATTTTGGGGATGAGCATTTGTGGTTGGTTTGCCTTTGTTTTTATTTTTTCTGGCCAAGTGGGAATATGTATAGAAGCAAGAAACAGAAGTAGTTGAATCCTTCACAAAGTGATGAAAAATGTATTGTCTGAAGTGTAGGGTTGAAGAAGTAATGGATTTGTTCTTTGGCTTCTATGTTCTGTGGTATTTTTCTGAATTTCTTGCTCAATATATTTTGAACAATAGAGTTTAAATTCCTAAAATAAAACAACTATGAAATCACTGTGGGGATGTAGACATGTAGAGTTCTCTAAATCCATTTTTCTGGAAATTTTTTTCTGGTTTTTGTTTTGTGAGATGCTCAGATTTGCTGATCTGTGGAGCATGCTGACTTTGGCTTACTGTCAGTTTAGTGGAGAGCAGAGAAGGGATTGGAAGACCAGTTTAAAATGCCCATATATTTACATAATTTAATAGAATGAGAGAGCTGTTAGGAGTTTGTATTTCATCTTGTTATGTTGAAGAATTAGAGTTACATTTGAAATAATTACGATTGAAATTTAAAGGGCAGTTAAGATTACCACTTGAGATTGGTCTTCTTAATTAGGAGGCCAAACAATTGCATTATCATAAATGGGATACCGATGTGTTATAGTCCCAGATTCTTATCCTGCTGCTAGCAGTCAGATCTATTTTTAATCACAGGGAAAATTTTGCAGATGCAGTCTGAATTACAGTAAATACAAGTCATTACTTTGAACACTCTTTTAAAAACAAAATATTAGAAGTCTGCAAAATTTCAAAGAAAATATCTGGTACATTTTATTTAATATGTCTAAAATAATTCAATTTGCTTAACATTGGGTATTGAGTTACAGCATCAGCTTCTTAATGATCTTTATGTTTGTTTGACATAAGCATAAATCTTTTCCTTTGCTGTTTTGATAAATGTTATCAAAATGTAGTGTTTAAACTGAGTTGAACATAGTTTTGCACTGCAAGAGTTAAGCATACTGGGGGTTAGGTTACAAACAGAACCATTTGAGGTACTTAACTGCATGAATCAAATACAAATTAATCCCATTTCTGTAATTTGTAATGCTAGTTCACAATTATTTGCTGTGGTGTACTATTTAAAATGAAACTGAAGCTTCTGCCCTCCATGTTTCTTGTGTCTGAGATCTGTTTATGTCAGCTATTTATTTTAATGCTAAGTATAACATATTCACTTTGAAAAGAGTGCAAGTGAAAATACTGGAAAATGCCTTCTAGTACACATTTTATTTTATGTGAAAATACCCTTAAAAGTGAACAACCTTGGTTTTATGGTGGATGCTCACAAATAATCATAACTTTATCATAAAGATAATTAAATTGGAGCACTTACTAGCAGGTGTGTTCTGAGGCAGGGATGAAGGTAGTTTCTGTATTTGAGGTTTCCACTCTGCTTTACTTCCAGTTGATTTTAATTGAAGTCTTCAAGACTTTAAACTCTCATTGTTTTTTCTGCACATTGCTTCCTAAAATGGCTCATAATATGGTTAAATAAATTCTCGACCCGGTCAGGTTGAAGAAATGAGGATTAGGACTTCACTTTGCAATGACAATCGACTGTTACTTTGTGTCAACTGTAATGGAAAGCCATAATAATTAATTTATTTAGATATAGCACTTAACCAGTGTTCTCTGCTTTTTTGCTCCGACCAGTCTTGATGATTTTTTAAAAGTTTTTTGTCGTCTTTATTGCTGTATTTAAGATTCTGCATGCCACTTTCAACTGTCTAAGTAGTTGACTATGAAGAGGAAACAGAAGAACTAACAGTAGAGAGTTAACAAAAGTGGGAATTTCAAAATTAGGGCTATAGCTGTACTTTTACCTTTTTGATTTTTCTTTATATAGCTCTTGTTCATTAAAAGAAGAGAAACTGAAAACTTTGCACTGATACTATATTATAAATGTAATTTTGAATGAGAAGAGGACACCAGTTAGAAATGTTTCATGTGGTTGTAATAACATAGGCAATGGAATTGTTCACTAGTATTTTAATTTTTCAGAATGAAAGAGTGAAAATATTTAATGATTTGCTGTACAGGTATGGTTTTGCAACCTGTTTAACCTTTGGCAGCATAATTACTTTTCAGTTACCACCTAAATTTAAAAATAGATAATCTAGCATTTTCAGGAAATAGTAATAGGTGTTAAAATACCTTAGATTAAATTTGACTGATTTTTATCTTTATTGTCATGTCTTCAAGGCCCTATTGAATTTGAAGAATGTAACACATCCAGTGCAGTTGAAGGTGAGTTGTTGTAGCAGCATAGTTATTTATGTAAGAATGCTGTGAATAAAGACCTGACACTATGGAGTAGAAGGTACTCATTGTGTGAGTCTGGATAGCTTTAAATTACCCCAGCAGACTAAAAAGCAGTTTTCCTTTTGAGAAACAAACTTCCATTGAAAATAAGGCCTGTGATACTTGATAAGCCTATTGGAAGAAGGTCAGAGAATTTTAATTTTTCTTATAAATATACTTTGGCTAGGACATTGTCTTTGCAGGGATTTGGATTGGGTTCACTTATGACGTTGTTGTAAGTAATTTACTAGTGTCAAAACATGGCCCAGGCTCTTTCCATTATTACCATTTTAGTTATACCAAGTCTAGTGCAGTGTTGTGATCACAAAGGTTATTTTATTGGCGTAGCGTATTTTGCTTAGGGTATTGTCTTAAGTGGTTAAGAACTGCTTTATTTGCATAATCTATGTATTTACTTTTGGGACAGCAGAGTTGACAGTATAGCTATAGCAGCTGACAGCTTCTAAGTTGCCAAGATTGCAGCTGAGACTTAACTCTTTTTTGACTAAAGCAGAGAGCATCCATGTTCACAAACTACTCTAATGCTTCATTTGTGTTTGTTTAGGGCTGCATAAGGTACAGAAAAAAAAATTCCCAGACTAGCATTTAGAAATAATTTTGGAGCAAATTCTGTCTGTGTTAAAATAAAAGATAAGGCTGTGTAAGATTGGAGAGATGCCTTATGTGCTGTGTAATGTATTTCTGCAAAGTGGAGTATAATGTTTAATTTTTAAATTATGTACTTGAACTGTCAGTTGTTAAATTTTGGAAATCAAATTATTTCCACCGTTTAGCTCAAAAGTATGCTGTCAGGAGCATCATATGTCAAAACAAAATTGTAGGCTAGTTGGATCAGATGCTTGCACTTAGTCATTTTGTTTGCCAGTCTGTTTCAGCAAAAACTGGGGAGATAAGCAGACATGATAGCAAGTCAGATGGTATATTTAAATATATTTTAATTTTAGCACAGGTATGAAAGCAAACTTTTTCTCTGTACTATCGCTATATATATCTGGTGCTAAAAACAGGGAAGAAATGACAGGGCAAGCATGCTTCCTGACTCAGTGAGAGCCAGCCTTATTGCTGGCTACAGCAACTGGGAAATCATGAACTTGGCGTCAGCTGGAAGGCCAAGAGACAGTCTTTTTTTTTGTACAAGACCAAGATCCTAAATCTTAGGAGAGTACAGTGGCTTGCAGCTCCTGGAACATGCAGGACAGTAACAGCTTGTTGACCTGTAGTAGGTGGGAGCGGCAGGGTTCAGTTTCTGATTCAAATGCACTGGCTACTTAAGATCTGCCAGAGCAATAGCTCCGGTTGAGTTTCTGTAAGCAGAGATCCTTTCCTCAAAACTTTTTTTTCTATTAAAAAAAAAAAGTATCAGTCTGCATACTCAGCTTGGGGAGTTGAGTGTACAATGCAAATCATTTTTTTTTTAAGGAGTTACGTTATTAATGTCTTGAACTCATACTTTAATTTTTTATTAGTATGTTACTTAACAAATTGGAATGATGTTCCCTTAGTTTGGCTCCATACGTATCTCTACTGTTCAGATTTTTGTATTATTTGTTGCAGCTTTTGAAGTGTACTGGCATTGGTATGCACCTGTGTTTGACTCTGCTAAATACATACTTATCTCTTTGCTCTTTACATGAAAACTGTTTGTTCCATAGGGATAAAACCACGAAAGAGGAAGCCTTTTGGTTTATCAGGAATAATGAAAAAAGAAAAAGATACTGAATCTGTGTAAGTATTTTTTGATCTTAAAGCCTTGTCTTGTACAAAATCTAGTAAAAGCGTGGGGATAAACATTAGCTGATGTTTAAAAGAAAATGAGTTACAACAAAAGTTTAGAGGAATGCTGTGAATATGAAAACATCACAGTTCCTGAAGATTTTTGTAAGTAAGGACTTTAAGGAAATAAATATAATGATAGTAGTCTAGTCAGTTTTCATTCTTTTTGGTGCATAGGTAAGTACTTTTCCCTTGTTATGCGTTTGAGTGTTGTACATAACATGATTGTCATGTGTACTCCTAATGAAATAATAGCTCTGCACATGGAAACAGTAGTGGGTGCCTGTGTTTGCAGAGCTGAAGTGTCATTTGCTCTTTCATTAGAAAAACTTTCTTGTACAGCATTGAAGGACAGAAAAATCTTTGAATCTTTTTTCAGTACATCATGTGCACACTCATATCTTAAAGGCCATCATTAACTCATGACTGATGTTCCAGCTATACCCTTTGCTGTATTCATTGCATGCGTTCTGTCTCCCAGGAGCTAAAACTCCCCAGAAAGTGAATTTGAATACAAGTTCTTAGATAGATTGGTCACAGTCTATGTATTAGTAGTTATGGTCAATATACTCCAGTGAGGTTTTTTTTCATAATTTCTAGATGTATTTTATCAATAGCTGTATTTAATATAACAGAAAATAGTTTACAATTTGACAAATTTACCAATATAGAAATATTCTCAGAGGCAACCTCTGCATACCTACTTTTTAAAATTACTTTAAAAAATATTTTTACCAGCATTTATTTTTAATATAGTGCTGAAAAATTAATGACCTAAGAACTGCAGGTGCTAATTATTTGGACAGAAAGTACTTTATTTTTCTTTTGTTGTTTCATTTTAATAGTGATACAATTCTAAACTATACTTTTTCTTCTCTCTGTCGTGATGTCTTTAGGGCTCCAAAATGCTGTTTCTTTAAATTATTCCTCTATATTTCTGTCCTTTCTATGATTTAGGCTTTTCCCCCATGCTTTCTTCTGTTCTTTATTGAGCTGGAGTAAATTATGTCAGAAGTGTTGTATATAGTATGATTTTTGGTCAGCAGCAATCTGGTAATACTATTTTGTTACAAAGAATTATTTTTGCTGATGAAGATTTAGTTTAAAATATTTAAAATGTTATACATTATGATATTCATGTTTTAAACAGCTTTAGTGCCTTTTTAAAAAGTAATTCATTCTTTCTGGAAATTTATTTACTACACTTTTTTTTTTTTGCAGTGCAAAACTGCTGCAGTATCAAATAACAAAAAAGTGTATTTGATAATTTTTGTGTCTTGCATTTACTTAATTGCAAAGTAGCGATTTTGATAGTATTAAGTACTGTGGGATGATTGATTTATGTAGCTGTTGGCTTCTCTTGTTCAACAAAACAATTGTTTTGCCACCATGTGGGTTATTATTCAAGCTAATCTCATGTTATGTATGTTATAAGCCTCCTTGCAAACCAGGCATCTCCTTCCATCCATTCTTTGGCAGATGGTGAAATGTAATCTGGCCCCAGCAATGATTTAAGGCTCTTAGTAGTACTTTTGTGGAGCCAGTAGAGCCTGGAAGCTCCAAATTAACTCCTCCTAGGTGTATGATTCGGTGTATCCTTAGTCGGAGAGGATGTTTTTCTTTGACCTGTAACAAAATTTACTTAGGCACTGTGGGCTGAAAACTGACTTCTGCACTAAGTGGAATGCTTTCTACCTTTGTATGCTTATTCGCTGTAGTATCTGAATACTTTTCTAAAAGCTGCCTTTTCCCAAAGACATTTTATTTAACATTGGAAGGTAAGATCAGTGTCTCTAGAAAAAATTAGGGGTTACATTGTGCAGTGATGTCATCAGGAAATTTAAAACAGTTCAGCTACTCTGAAATGGGGAAAGAATTTGCCTTACTTTCCACAAGTTGGACTGAAATTTGATTTACGTTGTTATATTTGTTTACACACAATAAAAAAAGGAAGAGGTTCTGAGGTAAGAAAGGAAGAAGTACAATGGCACAATATTTACCTCACATGTAACACGTGCCATAGGCTTTTACAGAGATTCTTGTATTAATCCATAACTTCTGAATGAACAGGAGCAAGACAAATAAATAACAAAGAATTCATTAAGTGCTGAAGTAAAATATTCTAATAGTTATTTATGATCCCTTAAAAGATTTTATTGCTAGTCTAAATTCTGTCTGATTTCATCTTCGCCTGATGATCCTGCTATAGGCTGTACGTGATAAAGCTCTGTATCATCAGAAACTTCTGTGCACATAGAGGTCAAGTGCCTTCTTAATTTCTTGTTAAATTAGGCTGTAAGCTTGTTTAATTTGTGTAGGGCAAGCTTCCCACATCTGGAAAAAAAAACTGTTTTGTAGGCTTTTCAGTTTATCCATACCGTTTTTAATGTGTTGATGCCTAAACTGGATGTTGTGTCTAGTAATAGTTTTACACAGGGAAATACAATACACATAGTACTACACAGGCTACTCAAGGATTTCACTTCTTTCTCTAACCACTGCTTTGCATGATTTCGTTCTTTTAGTTTTTATCTACAATCCTTAAATTCCCTTGCAGAATCCTCATTTGCTGAAATGTTACTTAAAACTAGAACCATGACTTAGTTCTTTTAATCTTAAGAGAAAGATCATTTATCTAGTGATGTAAAAGTCTACAACATGATGTCCTCGTTTTCCACTTCACCAGCATTTGCAAACTGTTGAGTTTTCCTTTTTATCTTAACAGATGCTGGGAGGTGCTGTTAGTGCTCCTTTGAATGGTCCTAGGCCTGCTGTTACTTTTTTGAAATCTGGTAGCTCACTCATTTTTTATAACGTTCAGTATAGGCTGAATTATTTTCCTTGCAGTTTGCCTCACATATTTCACATTTCTTAACTTTGTTGGAATTCAGGCTGTCTTGTTTGAGTACAGGCACTCTCTAAAACCACACATCAGAAAAGCTGTTATATCTTTTGAGAGAAGTCTAATACTTTGTCTCTACGAGCTGTAAAATAGCTTCTAAAATAGCTCTTTCTATTCCTATGAATTCAGTTTAGCCAGCAGAGGGAGATAAGACGTAAGTCAATTAGAAACTTGGGGACATACGTTTTCTTTTGGGTGAGGCCTTTTGGAGGAAATGGGATCCTTCATCTCACTGTCAATTCATTAACAGGCTGTACTGAATTTCATATTAATGCTTCCATATTAGCAAGTTTTCATAGCTGTTTTTAAAGACGTTGTCATTTTTACATATAATCCATTTAGTCTTCCAGAGAAGGTGATTTAGACTGCAATAAAATCTTACTTTCTTGCTCTTTTTTTCCATACATATATGTTTAGGATGTTCTTTTCAATTATATAAAAACACTGTTGTTCAGTTGCATTGGCACAGCTTTATTTGTCAGAATGCAAATTAGAGAGGACTTTGCTGCTGCTCAGAGTATTCCCACATTCTGTAAATGTAATTGCTTTTCCTTTTTGCAGTCAAAAGAGAGAATCAGTGTCATTCATTTTTAAAAATACTACTGTTTTGATTGATGTTACTGTGGAAAAATCTAACACTCATGAATAATGTGCTTGCAATCACTGCTTTTTTTTGATGACTGTTTTTTTTAAGTGCTTATCAGGAACAGTACTTTATTATTTTTTTCCAGCATCTTCTAGTGCTTGATTGCAACTGTGCATGACAAATATTAAGTAAGAATGAAATTCCGAAAGAGGGAAGTTCTGAATTCCTTTAAGAATAGTCTTAATTTCTTTGGGAACTGGTTACTGTCTGAAATGTTGTGCAATCACATGTGGACTGTTTAATTAGGGTTGCTGACTTCTACTTATTGTGCACATCAGCCACACAGAGCAGACTCTTAAAGTATGTTCACCCAGAGTACAGTGTGATACTGACTTTTTTTTTCTTCCATTATATTAGTTTGCTTTTTTAGCATTTCTTTTGAGTTTTTCTCCTGAAGTGTTTTAAGCATAAACTTTCAACTTTTATTTAAATGTTATTCAGCTGAAGGGGTATTATTTATAGTAAAATTTTTAACACAGTCTAAGACACAAAAGGGTTAAATGCAATGTTTCAAATTAATTGAAAATATTAGTGGAAGTACCAGAACTGTATGAATAAATAATTTATACATTTTTAATTATATCTTTTCTTTATTTGTTTTTTAATAGGGAGTGTCCAGATACAGACTCTGTTGTAAGTAGACTTATTTCCAAACAACTGTATATGATAATAGGGTCAAGCACTAAAATCTGATGAAAAAACTTATATACAGTCCTGTAACACATTATTTATCTGATAGAGGATTTAGTATTTTGATAACATAATTGAAGTGTTAATTTTCATCAAGTGCATAATCCTTAGCAGTATATACAAATATGTGTCAGAAGTACATGTATATTTCCTAATAATTTTAGGTTTTAAAGCAGGTATTTTTACTGCTAGTATTTGCTACTTTATTTTTCAAGTTAACTGTTTAAATTGCATGGCTAATAAATTCCAGGTAAGAAAAAAGTTCAGTTTATTGTGGACCCAACTTTGTATCAGCATATTCCTCTGCTTACTACTGTTACCTTTGAGAATCCCATCTAGTATCAGTGGGGTTCTGCTTTATCAGTGGCAATAGAGTGTGGGAGTATACTTTTTAAAATATAACTTTGAATGCAGTACCTCTAGATGCACTTTATTAATAGCCTGTTTATCATTGCTGTCAGTTTGATCTGTGATACATTTTACAATTTTATGTATTCAAATTAGTGACAGTTGCAAATTAAACGGATATGTTAATGGTTTTTAAGTTCCTTTATTGAGCTTTTTGTTTTTATTTAAACATGTATGTTGTCTTGCATTGTACGTAACAGAGATTACAGCTCCCTGTAGCTAGAGGAGGGAATAATTTACAGAATAATTTAAGTGATTTTCCACAGACTGATTTGTTTTTCAGTTCATTTATTTAGATGACAATTGTATTAAATAATTTAATTTTCCAGGTTCACCTATTTTGTGGATTTTCTTCTTTGCATTTAGAATCTGGAAGTTTAAGCACATAATATTAAAACTTATTTTCAGAAACTTGGCTTAAAAAATCTAGCAGAACCATTCTTGTAAATAAGGAAAAGTAAATTTTGCCACGTAATAGAACGATTTGTGTAAGAACAGCCCTGTAAGCGTCACTGAGTCAGTTACTTTATCCTGTACAAAGTCATCTTAATTTAGAGCAAAATTCTTGTCTTGGGTACATTTAAAGTAACTTTAGAATTATCCCCATAATTATCAGGCTTTTCATGGAAATAATATCTTTTGACAGTTCAGATGGAGTCACTGGTGTGAACCACAACTGGGTTTGACTTGCAGTGTTTATTTTTTTTCTTTGCTTATTTTGGTCTCTAAATTTTTCTTCAATAATTAGTTCCAAAAATTCAACTGTAAATGTGTCTAACATGCTTTCTGGCTGCATGAGGCACACCATATGATCATCTAAGTTAATTGCTCTGTCTAGATGTAATTTATATTTGGTTATAAAAAGACCTAATTTTCGTAGTGTCTAACAACAAAATTTAGACACTTTAGAGGCATTCTCTTTTTTTTTTTTGGTCTATAATTTCTTCTTGCTTTTTACAAGCAACAGTATTATTCTGAATGGTAGAATGCTTTCATAGCAGAAGACATTACTGTCATTCTTGTGAAAGATGCAGCATACTGTAGATGAGATTCATTTCACCCCTTACAAACAAACACCCCAGAGTGCTTTTGTATTTTAAGGTTAGTGTCCTTTTCTGGAAGGTCCCGTTTCCATTTTTTTTGTTTGTTTTTATTGTCTTATACTTTAGGGTTTCCTTTCCATTTAATTTTTTAAACTTGATCTAAGTAATTAGAGCCATCTGTATTGTTATCGCTATGAGGATTTGTTTTGTATGGAACTTTGCAATAAGTAACATTTCAAGAATTTGAACTTGGAATAGTATTATTGCCAAAAATATATTATCATTTGTATCTGCTAGAAAATACTGAGGATCAGCCCTCAGAAAATTCAACTTATTTAAGGTGTTTCAGTTATAATTTGAGTCAGTTTAGTCACTCACAGAAAAACATTTCTATTATTAACATTAACTTTTTTTTAAAAAAGGGTTGCTCTTATTTATTTGTCAAGAATTTTAATTGTGTGGAAGGAATTTAAAAAATAATCACTCTACAATTATTTATAATTATAAGCACTGAGGTAAATATATTGAAATTTTAGAATTTAAGGATCCAGTAAGAACTGATTTCAGTACTTCATCTATCAGGTCTACATAATATTGTGGATCTTTGAACATATAGTGTGTAGTTAGTTGATACATTAAGGCCTTCTTAATAGTCAAAAATGTATAATGCAGTGTTTTTGAACTTGTATTTCCTATTTCCAGAAAACAAAACAGTGAGATGGTCCTAAAAAACATCTTTTGTACCAAAATTGAAGTTCTCACATTTATCTGTGGCAAGCCATCCACTTAGCTCATCCTTTTAGTAGCTGCCAGATTATATATATGGGAAAACAAGATTAATAAGTTGTTAATTCCTATCAATAATTTTTTGTAACTGCTATAAGAAGGTTTTATGTGCTCATGAGTAGGAAGGCAGCTGTGAACTGAGAACTGGTATTTTTTAAATAGGTTGACCACTTCAATAAGCAGTCTCTGTTTAAATGCAGATGACAGTATATAATGAGATTTTAGAATTCCTGTGTTGTTACATGTCAATCTACATATGTACCTTCCATTAAGCTGTCGTGATAATTAAGAAAAGTAGAAAGTTAACTCTCTGTATACTAGAAAGGAGATAGCAACTGTAGTCTGACTCTGTATGTGTTTATTACCTAGGAGGTTTTTCTAAAGGCATAACTAATTGTCTTGTTTCCCGTGGGCTTTCCATGTTTCTAAGAATGGTCAGCAGGAAGATAAGAACTTTAGCAGAAACTCTTGGGGAGGCATTTGCAAGGTTTCACTTGTGTGCATTAAAATCTAAATTTGTCTTCCAACCCTTCCCTTGGTTGAGATACTTGCAGATCTCCTCCTTCTACTTGACTGCCTATTTTCATGAAGACTGTAGTAATGTAATTATCTTTGAGTCCTCTGTTCTGTCTGTCAAATCCATTTGAAATTGTCCAGTAAGTTCAAAAATAATTAAGAAAGGAGCCACAGATGCACAGAAAATAATGCTGAAAGTTTTTTTTCACAGGAAATTGGAATGCAAATATATTAAGGCATCCAAAACTTTTCATTAACCTCGTTGCATATGAGTGTAGTGTAATTACAACTGCATAGAATTATACACCATTTTTATTACTGGGGACTGACTGAATGTGGAACCATCCAACTATAATTAGTGGAACACAAGTGTAACCTTATATCCAGTGAAATTAAAATGGTTTTGTTTATTTGAATTTTGTAATCATATTTGAACAGCTGCCATTGATACAGGGTACAAGGCTTTGTCACAGCACAAGAAAGGAGCACTTCAAACACCTGTTTTTCTTTCTTTCTGCATCTCTGGCAATGGAAGAAACTGACTAGCTACACACTTCTTTGATGTCTTTTGGGTTCACAGGCACCCTTAGGAGAGAAGGCTGATAATAATATGTAATATTCCTTTCTTAACCTAACGACATACCTGAGTCAAATTTACATTTCAAATATGTCAAAAGTGGAGAGGTACTTTCTTCTTTTATTGCAGTCTATGAGCTTCAGCTGCTTACTTGGAGTTTGTTTCAGTCCTCATCTGGTTTACACTAAGTCAGTCCAGTTCAGTAAAATGACAGAAAGTTCATCTGGCAGAAAACGAAAGAGTGAGCTCTTCAGCTGCACTGTATCTACAAGCACATCCTGAGGAAAATGTGGTAACAAGCTCTCATAACCATGGTAGATATCCCAGGAGAAGAGAAAATAGACAGAAATCAAGCTGAAGGGTAGTAAAGGTTTTTTGCCTCTTGACTGATGACCAACCTGTAAGCAGTGTTAACGCCGCTGAGGAGGGGCTAAATGAAGTTGATAGCCTGCAATATGCTCCCAACGTTCTTCTCTTGTCTTTCGTGTGTAGCCCTGAGGAACCAATGGCATGGTAAAGGTGTGGTTTCTTCCATTGCTTTTGGATGACAGATGGGACAGAGCAAGGAAACTGAGACAGAGAATTCATCAAAACTCAAAATATAAGATTTGGCAATGGAATGCTTAGTCCTCATGCTTTTTATCTAGGCAATTTACTTTGTTATTCATTATGTCTGTATATTTTATTTCTTAAACAATTTCTGCAGAAAGTTCACAGAACGTACTAATGCAAAGATGGAGTTATAAGCCCTAAGTTATTAATGTATACTTAAAACTATGTAATACCTTTATTCGTAGCGTGTTGTGTTACATCTTCAAAGAGAGGAAAGACTCTGTGGGTTTCATAGCTGTATGTTCAATTGCTTAACAGAACCTCTGAGAATGTGAAACCTCCTTCTAAGAAAATCCACCTTTCCAGTAACTTCCACAGAGTTCAATCCACATCCATTTCAAGGCACTTTTTAACTACAAAGACTACAAACGTGTTTGAATAGGGGGATAGACCAAACTTTCATCCCCATCATAATAATAACTACTTCTTAGAGAAACCCAGTGTTTGCAAAGGTATTCCTCTTTGTTGAAGTTCAGAAATAACACATGTATACATGAAGGTTGTAGATTTTCCCTCTGCTCAGCATGGTAGGCAAATTTAGGTCTTCTCTGTATTGTGTGCCTGATATTTAAAAGATTCAGTGTTATTCATGACATATATAGTTCTGTAACTGTAGGATTGTAGAGAAGGGAGTAAAATTAATCAAGTGTATGTACATGCCTTCATTAACATCAGATTTGTGAATTTGAATCTCTCTGAAAATGCTATGTCCTGTACCACTGATACAAAATATAGATGAGTAAATAGAATTCTGATATTTCTGAAAGAAAAAACTTCCACCTCTTCAAAATATTGAAAACAATATTTTGAAATTACTGCTTAACTTGTAGGTAAGATTTAAAGGTACCATCTTGCTTATACTTTACTCAGTTTGTCTTTGTCAATACAAAGGGGCATCAAATATATCTTCCGCCCTTCTGACTGCTTTACACAAAAATATAAATTCAGTATCTCATTCATGAAAGCAAAACGTGTTTTAAGAATTATTATAAATTAGTATAAGACAGTCTGAATTATTAACAAAGCTGGAAGTAAAAACCAGATGATTTCTGACTCTGTGCTGAGTCAGATGTTTCAAATTACATATACTTAAATTTTAGAAATAGTAAAATAAAGAAGAACAAATTAAGTTTTCTGCACAGTGTTAGAAAAAAAAGTGGTGATGTAGGCCTGCCAAAAGAGAAGGAAGGAATTTTTCAGTTCCTGTGTTCAGAACGTAAGCTGTAAAGCATCCACCTCTGTTATGTACGTACTAACTTTGACTTTTTGTCTGAAGTTATGTATACAGGCTACATGGTAAAGTGCCATTGCTGAGGAATAGATAATTTAACTATCTCTGCAAGATCAGAAATAACTAACATGAAAATATTAAGAAAGAAATTTAATACTTGAAGTACTTTAATATTTTTATGCTAGGATTTACTGTGTCCTAGAGGTTATTCAGTAAATTAAAAATAATGCAATGAAAATAACTTCTATAAACTAAGTTCTTTAACAGTTTTATATCAGGGTAGTCAAATTTGCCAGCTATGTTGTGCATGCTGTGTATGCTCAGTAATAATATCCTTTACATATATGGCCCAGATGAAATAAAGACTAAATGTTGTATATTTAGAGATTTTTATTGGTTTTCAGTTCATCTTAACCATGAATGATCCTGATCTATTGAAAATTGCCTAATATGACAACTAAAATAATTTCAGAATTCAGAAGTTGTAGTATTGTAGGAAAATGTACCTACCCTCTAGCTATATGTTTTCGTTCTGTTTACTTTGATGTCAACTTTCATTAGTGTTTTTTGGTATATAAACAAGGTCAGCCTGAGGTCAAGCGTAGCTAAGAACTCTGATTTGAGCAAGTAGAGCTAAGGTACTGGACCGTGTGATCCTACTTTTATTACTTTTTTTTCTTTTTTTCTTTTTTTTTGGTTGTTGTTGTTTTGGGGTATTTTTAATCAAATAGCAGTAAAGTCCAGGTCTTACAAATATGTCAAGGAATTGCATCTCTGTGTTCCTTATTTTAAAGTTTGAGCTTAAGACTTGTTTTTTGGTCATAGTTTGATGTGCCATTTAATTAGACACAGTGTTACATCTCCTATATGGGATTTTATTTCTTACTGTTTTTAGCAGAAAGTTTGACCTATGCTTAAATTCGCTCCATTTAATACAGCAGTTCTAGATCTAGAGAGCTGCAAGACAGAGGAGAGTCTTTCTTAGTAAAATATCAGACATCCCATTTGAGGTATCTGTAAAAGGAATAGAGGGATAACTACATTTTTATATTTATCTTCCTCTGTAATTCAAAAGTATTCAAAGTGAGTATGACTTTAAATTTGGCTTCAAATTTTAGGCATAATCAAATGGTTCCTTGCTAGTCCACTTGAAGTCCATGATCATATGTATGTCATTTTGTTATATCTCATGACTTACAACAGCAAGGTATATTTTGACCGTACTCTCTATCCATATCTCTGTTAGTCAAACTGCCTCACAGTACCTACTTTCTGGCAGAATAAACTGATTGGTATACTAGAATAAATCACCTTCTCATAAAAATTACAAGATTCATATAACAAATTTATAATGGGTGAAATCACAACATTTTGAGGGCACTTGGGTTTGCAGGTTTTTAGCAATAAACTCACCGAAGCATCTGAGCAGTATATACAGACTACGCATACAAAGTCATGAGTGGGCGTGTCTGTCCTGAATGGGGAAAGTGTCTGCAGAGCCAGGCTTATGCCTTTTTATAAGATATACACAAATGTTAGGTTTTGCAGATTTTTAAAACTTAGATTATCAGAAGTATGTTTCTCTCTGCCCCAAAGCTTTTTTTATGAAGTTAAGTGCTTAGCTAAGCTTTCTAAATTATTTTAACATAATTCTCTTCAGTTTATATTTAATTGTATGCAAGAACTGAAAAACAGAATTAGTCTGAAGTTCCCAGGTGCTTGTGAGCTTTGAAAATCCAGGATTGTGCTGGAGGTGTGCAAAGGAAAACTTGAGAACCCAGTTAACTTTCTTCCATGCCTTTTAATTAATGTGGATATTCTTTGCTAAAGCAACAGTGCAAGCTTGCTGCTTTCAAGGTGGGAGAGGAAGTGGCAACCTGTGTAATCTGAAGTACTTTAACTCTCATATTGAAGTTTTGATTAGTACTTAGGAAAGGTTCTGCTCCTGAACCATCAGGGCCTCCAGTCAATTAGCTGAGAGAATTAGAAGTACAAATTGGGAAAATCTTTGAAGCCAAGGAACTGTAGGCTTATTTAACACTCATTAGTAAAGCTGAAATGCTTCTGCTGGTCTCTGACCTTTTTGATATAGTACCAGTAAAAGCAGATGCATTCAAAGTTTGCAGTTTTCATAGGAAATTTGGAGGTAGTTTTGTTGCATTCTGTTCCTGAGGTATCTTGTCATGCTATTTCTGAAGTGCAGATCATAACCTGAAATAACTGTAATAACGGTGAGTAACAATGACTTAATGTCATAATCAAATTTTAATTTGTAAATGATATAAAATTAAGTCTCGTGTAAGAACACAATGATTTTTTACTTATTTGTCGATATCCTTACTTTTGTTGTTGTTTTTAGAACAATCCTGATGTAGACGATGAAGGATACAGCATCAAACCAGAAGCAACACAGGATATCCTTTTCACTATTATTGTACCAAGTTATTTGATGTTATTACTGTTCTTTGGAGAGAGGAAGTACTGATTAAAGTGTTAAGTAAAGGAACGTGAATGGCATTCATGCTTATTGCAGAAAAATGTCCAAAATTTTGTCTACCAGCTTTTGAGTGTGTGCAAATGTTAAAAATTAAAATTAAAAGAGATGTCTTGGGAACTTTTAACAGGATGGTTTTTGCCTGACAAGAAAAAGGAAAAAAAAAAAAAAAAAAAAAGTCTGAACAGAAGCTTCAAGGTGATCATGCAGATCTTTGTCCTTGAAAAGCTCTCAGGGGGGTTTTAAAGTAAAGTTTATAAACTTTTTTAGGTGTATGAAGTAGTTACCTGTTTTGTACCTGCAACCTCCCACTTTTTTATGACACCTTTAAAAAGATGAGGTGCTCCAGCAGATGAGAATTAGAATTTCTGCTACTTAATGAAGTCATTACATGCTGTTTCTAATTGATGTTTTTAGCTTGTATTGTCTTTTTAATAATAGTTTTGCTGTGCAGATTAGACTTTTGTTATGAGTTGGTTTTTGTGAAAGCTCATGATTTTTCTTTGCTTTTTCTTTCCCATAAGGCTCTGCTTTTTTGGTTGGTTGGTTGGTTTGGTTTGGTTTTTTAAGGATAAAATTCTTGTGCTCCTTTTTTCCCATCAGAAACAGAGGGAAGCTCTATTTAAGAGCTGGGAATAACCGCTGTGTATCTAAGCAAGCTTAATATGTTAGCAAGTTAGCTCATTTTTGGAAATGTATTCATTGAATCCCTAACCCTTGACACCAGTCCACCATCATAGTTTCTCTGTTTTCATCAGCTTTGTAGAATATGCCTCTCTTGCCCCTGGTGAATATTCCTGTACTCATAAAAGCAGTTCATGTAATCTCCTATTTACAAAATTGTTATAAAAGTGAAAGACTTTTATCCAATTCAGAGAGCGAAATTGCTTCATGTTTTACATATATTTATAGAATGGAGAAAGACGTGAACAACATTTGTGCTTTTTAATTTATTAACCTTGGCATTCTTTTCTACATCATCCTTTTTGTTGTAAAACAACAGAAAAGGCCATATAATCAGTGAAAAACCTCAATGATTTGAAATTCCTGTCAGCCAGGTGGTACTTCAGATTCTGAAAAGCTACACCAGAATCAGGAAGTCATCAGTTCCCTTCTTCTTTTCCTCTCTTAGCCTCCAGGAGTGGATATTTACTCTGTTGATGGGAATTCTTGACATGATTTGTTGGAGGACGTTATTTTACAGTCATGGCAGTAAGTCTTAGTGAGTCCAGTCTTAAGTGTTGGAGCAGCACCTTACAAAAGCTGCCTGATTCATAGGAGATGAGTCTTGAAACTCAGTGATATTTTTCAAGATGAGATCTTCTGATGAAATGACAAATGACTTGTCTTTGAAACTTTTCTATATGTGATCAGTTTCGGAGGACAGATAGGCTGTAAGATTAAGACATTTTACGTTTTCCTCACCGCTACTCAGGGATCCTTTCAGCTGAAATGAATTTGGAAAGTCCTTAGGTTTCAGGTCAGAGATCTTTGTCAGAACATATTTTTGAAGATATTTAATTCAAATGGCTGCTATATTTCCAAGTGAAAACAGAAGTGAGATATAGAATTATATATGCTTCTCATAGATACTATGAAACGTTTATGTTTAAGTAGAGGACTTTTTTTGCATTCTTTCTTGTCAAAACAGATGTATCTTTTAAGACTTAATGTAGGCCTTTCAGAACTTTTGTTCAGTGCAGCTCCTGAGCATATAAAGAACCAAGGCTAAATTCATCTCTCTATTTTGCTTATTTTGAGGGCTGAGTTGTCATTGTGATTCCTCTTTAAGAAGTTTGAAAGTGCTTTAAGCAGCTGATGTTGTTCAGTTTACTGTGTGGCCTTTTCTGTAACTGGCAACATTTCTTGCAAAATTTTCTGCAAAAGGGGAAAGTAAGGTTTCTGCTGCTGCTTCCTCTACTGTTAATGCTTGGTACAGGTACAATGGGCATTTCACTGCTGATTAAAAAGACTAGGGCCTTCCTTCACTTGGTTTTAAGGGTTTTCCAGATTTTTAATAAAATATTTTAATACATTTTTGACTTTTCATAGAATCTGTGAGCCTTAGAAATCATAAATTTAGCATGTAGAAATATTGCTATTGTTGAATCTTTAAATTATCCTGATACCTCCAAATATGCAGTTCCTCAGTTATATGAATAGTGCCTTTCAGAGCAGAATACTGTTACAAAGGTGAAAGGAATATAAAAGCTGAATTTTAATTCTGAGTTGTGAATTTTGGATGGTGCATATATTTGAGTGCCTGTATAAGCTCATGAAGAGGTTAGGAAGCATTATTCATCTGTGATGTTCACTCAACATGAACATTTTGTAGAGCGTAATTATTAAATGGTTTAAGCAGCTTAATCTGAAATATTTCCACCTTAACTGAAAAAAACATACCAAAGAGAACCATTTCTATTCATCCAGTGATTCTGACTCTGAAGATGATGAACCCAGGAGATTCCATGTAGAAATAAAACCTGTCCAACCAAATAACAGCTCTCAATATACCATGCCTTCATTGGATGAATTAAAAGTGTCTATAGGCAACATCACCCTTTCTCCACCAGTATCTGTAAGTTATTTTGTTACTTGTAGTTTTAATGCATAGAAAAGTGATAAAGAGTGTTCAGTGCAAATGTATTTTACTGAGTTTTTGTACTGTTCAGAATTTACTCTAGATTCAAATTCAATGATTCTTTTTTTCTTATGCGTGAGGTCATCTTTGTTACGCTTTATTGCAGTGTAATATAAAGTAATTATACCTTCCCAGATTTTAGCTTTCCTTTGAGTCTTGGGAGTAGAGACTCCTTGTCTTTCTGTTGTTGCCACTACAAGACATTATGGAGTTAGTTGAATATGACTTTTAACATAGTTTACTAATTAGTAATTTGATACTATACAAATCTTTAAAATAGATTATATAATATGGATACATGTAATATTTACATTGCAAGTTTATTGATGTATTCTGTTAATCCATAGAATGATCCTTTATACCATAAATTGACATTACAAATAAATAGTATCGAAGTATGCTAGTGTAATAATCAGATCGTAATAAGAATGGCTCTGATGGTAAGGGGGAGAAAAAAGTTATCAGCATATTAAAATAATAATGATGATTTTTTCTCTATTTCCCCCCACTCATTTGGAAAGCAGAGACACAGTCCTGTAAGTACAGAATGGCTCTTTATTCACAGTTTTAGACTAAAACCAAGTAAGTGTAGTATGTGAACAGAGTTATTGGGAAAACCTTAGGAACATTTCGTTTTATATATGCTATGTGATATATAAGCTGTTTACTTTTACTGCCCCAGACTCTAAAGGGACTCGGTACTGCTGTTGCCCTGGTCAGCTCTGTCAT